ACCATGCAGTCTTCTGATGAAGTTGTATCCGATTAACATTTGGATGTCATCTACGACGTCTATTTCCATGCAAAAAATTAAGGGAATTCTGAAATTATGCTCCCCTATGTACATCTTTCATTCCTTTAATTTCCTTCCAGACTCAGTAGTGGAGTTAACCTCATTAAACTTCACCTGATAATTTAGTTCCTCAATTGCAGCTTTCGGGATGTTACCAATATTGGCGCAGCATGTTGTGGCTTCGGAGTCGATGATCGCACCTAATTTAAATCGTTCGACTCTGGCAATCTCGATTGTTACTGTAACATTGTATATCCTATTCAACATTTTCTTTAGATTCCTTTGCGCTTGCTCCTTTACAGATTCACACATCATCTTTGAGATCTTCCCAAAACAAACAGTATTCATGGCCTACTCTGACGGGCCAATTTTTGATGATTCTGCTTCTGAAAACGAAGAAGATGAGGACGATCCGTTCTCATTATTCTTATATTTTAATAAATACAACAATCACACTAAGTCATTGGCGAAAGTTGGGAGGAATGAAGACTCCAAAAATTTTAACAATCTTGATGATGATGACTCTGAAGACTACAGGCCTCAGAAAACACCAGTGCATTTCAAGCTTTTAGAAGACGTAAGTCTAATAATGCACAAACCTAAAAAGATACATGCCAAAGAGGATATAAACTTAGAAGGCACGAGTCTAAAAAGACAGACGACATTTTTTTTTATAAAGTACATGTGCTAACTTTAATTGCAAAATTTTGCACAATTAAGAGGCCGCAACCTCCCAAAAAAGAGTAAATCACAGTTCAGAAGCAACATAAAAAATTTTATTACATCAACCAAAACATACAAATAGAGACATCATCATCATGTGCAAATGTCATATCAGGCAATTAAAGGGTTACAATAAGTCAACTCATCTTCGAGTGAAGTTGGCATCACCTTCCTGAAATTTTAGTACTTTTGTTGATGTCCTACGGGACGAGATTCTTCACATATCTCCACTGCAACAACACAAAAACCTCCCATGGTGGTACGACAAGAAAACTCTAATTTTTCTTCGTTTCATTCAGAATATGCGACAGCAACACGAAAATCTCCCCCAAAAGCATGGTGGGAAACTACAACATTTCTTCAAATGTGCAAGAGCAATAAGGTAATCGCCCCGGAATGTGTGACAACAGTGTAAAAGATCTTGTTGATTGATTGTTACACAGACCGGGGACGACATTATTTTGCACTGTAACCCGAAAGAATATCTCATTAGTCGTCTGCAACGCAAGACAAAGATTACTTTTTTCTGCACAGCAAAATAAGAAAGATCGGGTTCTTCATCCGCTATGCAGGATGGGGACAATTTTCTTCTGCACCGCAACACGAAATAAGATCTCATTTGTCGTCTCCTATGCAGGACGGTGATGACTTTCCTCTGCGTCACAACTCGAAAGAGAACCCCGTTGGTCGTCTGCTACACAGGTCGAGGACGATATTTTTCTTCTGAGAAATCCTATATCACCTGTTGAGCAAGAATGAGGACTCCACGTCCATGCTCATCTCTTTTACCTATTTATAGACTAAAAAATTGCTAATATTTATGGCTAAAAAATTAATGCAATTTATTAAAAAAATAATTAAAAAACCGAAATCTATTTTAACTCTCTTGTTGTTTGGTCTTACGTCCTCAAAAAATTAAAAAAAAAAAAACATAATAATAATAAGTTGAATCGGCATGAAATCGGAGGACCACCGTCTGCAAACTTATTCAAGAGTTAACGCAATGCATTTGTTGAGTGTGTAGTCAGGGCATTTACTTGCATACCACCAAAATTCTTTTTTAGATGTTTCATTTCTTGGAGGTAGCCACATAAACCAAAACAAAAAAAAAATTATTTATACAAATGAACATTGTCAGAGCATTTACCTGCATGCTACCAAAATTTATTTTGCATCATATGGTCGTTTGTATGTAAGCATATAAATATATATATATATATATATATAAGGCCCTGGTTCTAGATATTTTTGGATAACAAAATTGGTCTCGCCCAAAAATAAAGAAGAATTGATATGTGATTAACAAATTTATATGAATCTCAAGGTAACATTTTAAGCAATAAACATTCAAACTTCAATTAAGTGTTATATAGAACTCTGATTTCAGAAAATTTATGGTCAAACTGGCAAGCTCGATGAAACGAACTCGATATCAAAGTTGATTTAATCCAAACTAAGTCAAATCAAGCCATTAAGTCACTTTTGAAAGCTTTTCAGACATATTTGGGATATCAAATGAATGTCGAATCTGACGATCTTATAGTCGAATCGAGCGTCTTAACAAGACGAATCCAACGAGCACAAGAGTGTTGAATTCCAACATCATTAAAGCACTTAAATGTCCATCAAACACCATCTTATTAAAGGAAACTCTCTGAATCGTCTGATCGAAGCGGTTCATATTCTTGCATTAATTGCACCTGAAACTCTATAAATAGAGTCTCACCCCTCACATGACGGGGGATAGAGAGAGAGAGCTTGAGGTCTGAAGAAAAGCTTGAAGTTTTGAGAATAAGCTGAAGTCCAGCATCACTCCTGCCACTGTCAACTACAGCTGACCATCGCCTCCATCAAACACCGTCTTATTAAAGGAAACTCTTTGAATCGTCTGATCAAAGCGGTTCATATTCTTGCATTAATTGCACCTGAAACTTTATAAATAGAGTCTCACCCCTCACATGACGGGGGATATAGAGAGAGAGAGCTTGAGGTCTGAAGAAGAGCTTGAAGTTTTGAGAATAAGCTGAAATCCAGCATCACTCCTGCCACTATCAACTACAGCTGACCATCGCCGACCACCACTTGCCGGCTGCCGCCGATAATTTAGG